GCAGATTACCCAACCTGTAGCAGTACAAAGTTTCCAAGAAGGTACGGGCGACGACATGTGAGGAGGATATTCTTCACGAGTTGCTCAATGTAACCGCCAGCGCTCACCTTCAGTCCGGGGTCCACGAAGAAAATATCGGTCTTTCCATTCCAGGTACGTCCGGTCCATACCATCAACCCGCGCCTTGGCGACTGCGGTGAAGATGATATCCTAGACCGTAGCGACGTTGTCGGAGCTGCTCGATGTTGGAGGTCTTCCAGATCAAGAGTGCCGGTCTCCAGGTAGCTCTCCATGGGTGACTCCATACAAGAAGTTTCGCAGCTGTTTGGAGGTGACGTGAATTCCATAGGCCTTCTCAGGCTGCGATTGGAGATGACTTCATATTTTGGTGTACATGAAGGTGATGGGCGAGAGCCAGCTCCTGCTTATCGAGGAACATCTTGGGTATCTTCCGCCTGGTACTCGTATCCACGTCCTCTGTCTGGGCTGCGAAAACTTTGCTGATATGTGACTCGGCCAAAGTGCACTTTTTGGCCCCTTCTGCAGACCTCAGTCGCTAATGGGCGGAGCTTGTAAGATGAGTGGGGTTCGCAAGATCAAATGGCACTTTCAGATCACTATTTTGGGGTGGAAATGTCCTTTGTCAAGCTCCTTTATCCAAAAAAAGTAGGTAAAATTAGCAAGGAAACTTGCTTGCTTCCACAGGCTTTCGAACGAAAGCTACCTCAATGTGATAGTGATATTAATTTAAAGCTCGTTACTACTAGTGACCTCATGTAATGATCGGTAGGCTGTTTGTCGAATCCCCAACATCTTGGCCAGTTGAGCGTTCCTTTCATCCAATCCTCGGCTAGCAGAGTCTAAAATAGTTATGTGAACAGAGAACGTAAACAAAACAAGAACGAATGGAACTCAGAAGTTCGCCACTTTTAAATCTTGAGCACTTTACGAATGTGCGGCGTTCGAGTGGGAAGCCTCTGTGAATTATTTATACGTTCCAATCTGGGCGGGCGAGAAAAAGGGGTTGGATAGCACGACCTCACTTCCCTCCACCTATACCGCTGCCTCTGGTACCACCTTGAGTCCACATTCTAATTTTTGATCTCACCCACCCTTTATCTACCTTTACTTCGGATTCCGAAAAAGGTCGTCGACCGCTATACATATTCTAACCCAGGAATAGTCGAAATTACGCCCCCTTAAAGCTATCCCTTCACATTCATGGAATTCAATCTGAGCAATTTCAATACGACCACCCTCCGAAATGGCGAGGATGTCAGGATGTCCCCCTCTTAAGAATTCGTGACCCCTAATGCCTTGTTCGTTGCGGATAATGGGCCGTACCAGGTGCATGGGTTGGGCACGCTGCCAGCTCGTTCTCTATTGGTTGTTGAAGTGGATAAGCAACAACAACTGGTGGAAGCTGATACGAACGACATGGTTGTCGCTTGCCGAGAAAAAAAGAAACGTATCACGGACCAGCACCTCACCAGATCGATCTCCCCTTGAACAAAACTGTCAGACGATGGACAAAGGTGATATGCGCTGGTCAGCATCAGAAGAAGCTAAGCAGCGCACATCATTTTTGTGCGAAACTCATCATGAGGTAGTATTTGGTTGCTGGGGAATGAAGTCGCACTTAGCCTCGAGAAAATTCTGAACACTTTTCTACGTCTCCAGTTTCACGCGCCATTAAACCGTATATCCATATATCAATACTCGCTGCCCCTCGCTGGTGAGTGACAAAACTATACTTCTGTTAAGTGTCCAGGTTCGACTCTCGATGAATCTTGGCATACTTTGAATTCCTATAGGGTATTGCTTTAGCCGTAACCAAGATGGTATAAAAGTTTTATTGGCTAACGTTTCGGCGCCTTATCGCCTTCGTCAGAGCCTGGAAAAAGTCAAAAATCAAAGTGAAACTACCCTCGGAAATCATTTCAAACCTCAGATAAGCTAGTCCCAGACCAGTAGGATCCAGAAAGTCATAGAACACAACCACAAACGAAAATTTCCGAGGGTAGTTTCACTTTTATCGTGTCCTGCATTCGTGAAGCGATGGCATCCATGAGGTGCTCAAAAACTGGCAAGAACCCCGCAGTAACATTGCTGTACAATTTTTATCTTCTATCTATA